GGGGGGGATGCTTTTTTAAGATCCTTATAAGGAAAAGCTGACAGTGGGGTTCAATTCAGGTACTAATATTTTCTCCTTCTTAAAAAGGTAAAATTATCCAGGTGAGATCAAGATTTAATAAGAGGAAAAAATGACAGGGATTAAAGGCATACTTTCAAAATCAAATAATTTCAATGCTTTCACTAAGGCTGGCCCAGGTTTGCTAAGGAGTGTGACAAAAACTGGAGAAATTCCATGGAGTAGTAGAAGAGAACTGGATTGAGCACCAGATCTGTGATCCAGTCCTACTTCTACCGCTAACCTGCTGTGTAAACTTGAGTGGCCTCCTAACCTTCCCAGTCTTCAGATTCTGTATATAACAAATGGGAGGTGGGCTTTAGGATTTGGGAAAAAAATCCCTTTAAACTTCAAGATTCTGTATTTTCCTACTTCTTCCAGTAAACATCAACATTTGTTTTAATATTTTTCCTGTTCACTGTTGCGTAGGTTTGCCACAGATGAGCAAGCACTTCCCAAAAACGAGCAAGGCAGGAGTGGGTGAAGGAACTCTGTAGAGAGTACAGAAGCACTAAACAGGAGAGAGGGAGAGCAGCCCCACGTGTCTAGGCATGAGTGAGCTGCTGCTGTGAGAGGTGACACATGGCATTGGCCGCCAGTGAACACTGTGCTTTTGATTTATTTGTAAGACTTGGAGGACCTTGCGTGTCTGTAAGAATGCCACGCTTCATTGTTAATGACAATAAGGGTACACAATAATAACAGCTAAGATAGTCTCCTTGGAATTATTATTAAAATCCAGACTCATAACCAAATAACATGTGAAGGGATCAGTCTTGCTCTCAATAAATGCCATGTCTTCCCCACATAGACACGCAAAGAAAATGTCTACATTTTCTTCCCTTGGATAACCCAGACCAAGGGAAGGACAGGGGAGGAGTGATAGGTAGTGATGCTTGGGTTTCCTGGAGAAATTGTTTTAGGTGAGTAGGAATAATTTTCAGGTTGATGGCCCAGTCTTTCACCATCTAGGAAAAGACACATAGAAGGGGAAAGTGAGGGACCTGGGTAGAAAGTTAGGGTGTCCAGGGTGGCTCCAGGAAGCATGGGAAGAGGTGGGGACTGGCTTTGCTGACTGACCTTTGCAAAGGTGGCCTTTGAGAAATGCAGCCTTAGGGATGCAGAAATGGCCTAAAATTTCCTTAGAACTGTAATCTAGTGCCAGAAAACCTCAAGGCCAACAGGTGAAAGACTCATTTATTGGGCCAACTATAATTAGTATAATTTATGTGTTTTGAGGAAACTTGAAATTGCTGTACTCTGGAAGAAGTGGTATGTTTTCAAAAATAAAAAAAGGAGATTCATGGATTCTATAATATCATTAAATGGATTTTGAGGAAAAAAAATATCCATGAATCTGTATATGTATGCATAAATGTATTCGCTAATGACTTTCTATGAAACACCTGTAAGGACTATAGTATATGCAGTGAGGGGGGGAAAGATGTTTTCTTTGCATTTTTCAGGTGGTACCAATCTGGTTGGGAAATAAAATATGCATATATGAACAAATTTGAAAATATTAAGAAGCATAATGGTTAGTGAAACATACTCGGATATATGTGTGTATACATAATATGCATTATGTGTATATTGTGTGTATGTGTGTGTGCACTTGCATGTGTAGAGGACAAGTTGGGTATATGCATAGGAAAAAAAAGTAGAAGAATTAAAAAAAGCTTCTTGAGAAGAAGAAAGAAAAGAGCCAGGTTTCCATGGAGGTTAATATAAACTGATAGAGAGCGAGGGCTCTGAAAGCTAATGGCACCAGCTTCATCCATAAGCATTGTTTACTGAACACATCTTTGGTGACAGGCACTGGCTACATGTTTCTCATGTTTTCATCTCAACTTATCTTCTCAATAAACCTGTGCTGGATACTATTATCCATTTACCAGATGAGGAATCCAAGTCTCTGAACATTCAGATTGATAGTCAGAGGCAGAATTAAACTTCACATTCAGGTCTGCTGGACATTACCCAGTGCACTATCCGAGGCGGGAAACCAGGGGTGGATCTGTGGGATTTGAAGTTGGAGAAGGTTGGGAGTACTTGATGTCAAGCCTTGAGCTTGACCCAATGGGACATTGAGGTTTAACCCAATAGGTGATGGACACCTGTCATAGGCATTTGGAGGACAGTGGCTTGATGACTGTTTGAGAAGCTGTGTGTAGCATGAGAAAACATAGGGAGAACCCAAATTGGGCCTATTCACTTAATGTAGTGAATGCAGAAAGGCAGCATGACTCTTGGAGGCTTTTGGATGTAAATTCAAAAGAACTAGAAGCCATATTGGATGTAGAGAGGCAAGAAGAGAAAGAAAAAATAAGACTTCAAGTTTCAAAGGTGGTGTTGGAGATCAGGATAAGGAAATTACAGTACCTCTGAGGAAATGGAAGTATAGGGGGCTGAGTTCATTAGGAAGGAATATGAAGAATTCTCAATGACTTAGTTATAGATCTCTCTTTCTCTCTCTCTCTCTCTCTCTCTCCTCTTTCAACTATCTTCAGATCTTTGAGAAACACTGAAAATGAAAGGCTACTCCTAAATTCCTTTCTGACACCTTATTTTCTTTGATAGTGCCATATGCCGGTAAGTGAGCAAATGTAGATACGTGTGTGTGTGTGTGTCCATATACATACATGTACAATATGATTTCTACAACAGGTCAAACAGCTTTCAACACAAGAAAATATGTATATATGTAATCAGCTGTACATACTGAAGTCATATGTATACTATTATTCAAATGTTTGCAGAATTGTTTCTATCTATCCATACTTGTATGGGGCAATGGCAGATTTCTTTGAAATTTTAAGAAGTTGTACCAATGTTCCTAGAAACTCCTAATGACTCCTATTTGTTATTCTCAGTTGCCGCTGAGACTCTGTAATTGATGTAACTAGATTTTTTTCTATTAAAAAAAGCTCCTATTCTAGGACAGTACACTCAAATCTTAAGCTTCTCTGTCCCTGGATTGGAACTCCCACCCACCACATTACTGCCAACCTAAAACGGAAGGTTAAATTTAACACATTAAAGGAATCTACCAGCTGTTGTGAAAAACAGTGACATCTGGATAAAGATACATTGTTTATCAATTGACTGATATGTGCATTCAATTCTTCAAGGCTGGGAGACTAGGAATTGTTAGATTCTATCCATCTCAATATATACCATTTGAACCGAAGATTACTACTAAGTGATTATATCCTAGAGGGAGAAAGATCTTTATTTCCTAAGGGGAATGGCATTTAAAGCTTTACTGTTTTGTTTCCTCCAAGAGATTCTTTCTCCAACTATTCCTCTTCTTAACAGACATTAATAGAAAGACTCTTCTTCCTTCAGCAGCTTTAGAAAATTCTAAGACCAGCAGACTGCTTTCCCTTTCCTGGGAAATACTAGTTTTGAATTTTGTAATGAAATAAAGGGAACAGGATGTATGTACATGGCTTTAAGATAAAGGAGACTCACACATTTTGAATGAAAGAAATAAAACTTCAAGAGAAGATCACACTTATTTTTGAAGAAAGATAAGAATAAATGCTCTTAGAGAGTTTTACAGAATATATACCCTATAAACACTGGTCAGCACATTAAAATGATGCAATTTTGAGTCCTGAAATACTTTAAAAATATTTTTTAAAGTTTATTTATTTATTAGAGAGAGAGAGAGAGAGCGCACGCACGTGCACACAAGTTGGGGAGGGGCAGAGAGAAGGAGAGACAGAATCTGAAGCAGGCTCCACGCCATCAGCGCAGAGCCTGATGTGCGGCTGAAACTCATGAACTATGAGATAATGACCTGAGCCGAAACCAAGAGTCGGACCCTCAACCGCCTGTGTCACCCAGGTGACCCACTTAAAAAAATCTTTAAACACGACTTCTTCCATACATTGGGTAATTTTCCTTTGTTTAAAGTATTTTCCAACAGTTTTGTAATGGGAATATGCAGTTTTTTACAAGAAGATCAAAGCATTATGCCTTTGTCTTCTTTTCCCTTTGTCATTCATGGAATCAAACAATGGTAATGAACGTTTAGCCACACTTGTTCTGCAGGAAGTCACTCACCTCTCTTGAAAATTTCATAACGTATGGAAAATCCAGCACCATGTGTCTCATAGTCAGAGACAAATTTAATAAAAAGAAATGGCCCTGAAGACACTACAGGGGAAGGAGCAATCTTCCCACAGAACTTTCCCCATAAGCGTCCATTTTCATTGTCTCCATCGATGACCTCCACGTAGTCATACCTAACATAAATACAGGAGACAGCAGGTTAGTGAGAAATGCCCTTTTAATTTCAGTGATTTAGAAGGCAGCATTATCCAGCATAGTCTGTTAGGAAAACAGTGCTATCTGTATTCACCACTGTATTACATGGAGGGATAAAAATCTAGCAAAATGAAATAATCAAAATGGACTACATCATGTCTGTATACATCATCTGGCAACACAGAACTATTAAGAATAATGGTGTCCATTATACTTGCAGACAATGTCAGTTAAAGTAACCAATTAACAAGAAAAAGAAAAATCTCACGAGCACAATTCTCTATTATTAAATTGTGTTCCTTTGTCTGTGGTGGTGGGGTGTCAATACATAATGCTATGCATTCTTTTCAAACTGTGAAGTTCTTTTATGAATCCAAAATGTCTCCTTGGCTGGAGCTCTCCATGAAAAATACTTTGATTTCTGTGAGCGACCCTCTAAACATATGGCCACAGAATAATAAACAGATTCTTTACTATTTAACTCAATTCTACCAAACTCCAGACTTCTTAGGAAAAACTCTCTCAGTATCCACAGTGGTTAAAACACAGATCATCTTCTCCAAAGCTATACTTGAATTGCAGAACATAATCTCTCCAAAGAAAAAGGTTTATTTAAAAATGGAAAATTACTGTGTTTATACCACCAGCCTGAATCTTTAAAGGAATATTGTTGCTTGAAAAGGAAATGTGACACACTCCAAGTCACCAAAGTGATGTGATTTAAAAAAAATCGGTCTTAATAATAATACACTAAGGAGACAAACGGTAAAGGAAGTCACAATAAAATATTATTCTAAATATTGTACTGAGATAACACATATGCTTCTTTACCTCCAAGAGGTGGGGAGCCATCTCCAACAAACTAGCATTCCCCCTCAAAAATAGGAAGAGTTTTGTTTGTTTGGTGTTATACTCTTAGTGCCTTTCCCTTTCCTCTCTTGTTATTTACCAAGTCACCTAGGATCCAGATAATCTGAGCTGTCTTCCATTTTTCTTCTAGAACTGACATGAAAACATTACAGTCCATTCATTTCAAACCTTTGTTTTATTTCTGCGTTTGACTTGGTTCAAAAGTCCTGGGATATATTAATATCAGGAATGGCTAGAATATGGCAGTAATATAAACTGTATCTGGCAATTTAAAAGAGATCAAAGTGGGGGAAATCTTCATGATGACCAATGTCATCTTTAACAATCTCTTTTCAAACTGTCCAGGACACATTACTTATGTTTACATAAAGTCTCACGAGGGAACTGCAAAGATGATATCACTAGTTAGAGTGGACAGCTTAAGGCTCTCTAAATTAAAAATGACATTACCTCATCAGTTAAAATTGTGTGCCAGCTTTGTGTATATCAAGAAGAAAATAAAGCTGACATTGATGGAACTAAGCATTAACATATGTGAATTATTGTATTAACTGCATTTCCTTTGCTGCATCTGATGTTTCCAGTAGTAATCATTGGCTGGCCCCTCTGCAAAACTATGGACATGCACAGAAGAATTGTTCATTTCTCAATACCTTGGGAGATGCTTTGCATGTTAAAAGAAGATGAAGCAGGAGGGGGAGAAGAAAAAGCGGAGGAGGAGGAGGAGGAGGAAGAGGAGGAAGAAAGCATTATGCTCAAAATCCTTACTGGCCTTTTACACTTAACTGGGGGCAGCTGGAAAGGACACCATCTCTGTATTCATTAAGCCTCCACATTGGCATTTGTGCAGTAATTCCTTTTATCTCTACTGCTTCATTGACTAGACAGGTCTGGATGTTTTGCCCCACGTTTGCTTATAATTTAACTGTGGTTTGAACTGTTGGCTATGTTTGGCCTGGTGATGGTGCAATATAGGCTTTTTACTTGAATCTTGACATGGTCTGAATACTAAGTGGCCAAATCTTAGTGCATTTTGCTTTCCAGGCACAAATAAGGGAGGTAGGTCAGGCTTTCCTAAGAACTGGGGGCACTTCTGTGAGGAGCCTTTCCTCCCAGGTAGGAGAGAGCTCAGCTAAGATAGTGCCAGTGAGTTGCAACAGAGAAAGAAGCTAGTATTTTAATTCACATATCTTCTAATAGTAAATACCAGGCTCTCCTCCTGGCAACAGTAAAAGCTATTTTTAACAGGAGGAGAGGGATTAGAATCTCTTCCCAGCAAGAGATAAGTCATTGCATCGTTAAGTGCCAATTTTAGGAAATTGAATTATTCGGGGATACAATAGTTACATTTATAAACTGGAAGGCTGCTATCATTTTAGCACTTCCCTTCAAAGCACCATCCAACAGGGCCCCAAAGAGTGTCACAAATAGCAGTTCATGTAAATATTCAGGAGGGTTTATGTGCACAAGTTGCAAAGGGTAGTACTGCCAAGGAAGTTAAGAAAGCAGCTTGCATCTCCCTCTGGAGTTGATACCAGTTCCACTCCATAAGTTTCTTGCTGGCAAACGTGGTGCCAGGAATGCAGCAGGCATGCCAGCAATCCCTCCCTAGAGACTAACTGTGTCACCACAGCAACGCACCCAGCCTGCATTGGCCTGAGGCCCGAGATACTGAGTTTGCAAATTTCGCTCCCCCAGGCGGCTGCACATTGCTCTGTTAGTGCTGCAGTGTGACAAACGCCGCACTTCTTGGAATGTCAAGATCCCTGGTCATGACGGCAGGGACCTACACAGGTGGAAGCCGGGCCACTTGCTTGACTCTCGTGCTGAACCCACACGTTGGAGAAGAGCCTGAGGAGAGCCGGGAACTGTGTCTCAGGAACTGGGCCCACTCATAGAAGCTAGAGGAGGGGTTAGCAAGCTGACATGCCCATCCGTTTGGAGCCCTGCTCCAGAACATGAATGCTCCAGGTGACAGGGAAGCTGCCTCTGAGTCCAAAGCGCACTGTCTTTCTGTGCAGGGGCCTGGAGGGTCCCAGCCAGGGAAACCCTTCCTCAAACCTCATCCTGTCCACTTATCACAGGAATGTAAACGTCATGTGAATTTTTTAAATATTTAAAGAACAACCAAGCTCTCCCCCTTTAGGCATCCTGCCACTTTTTTTCTTAACTCTCCTACCTTAATGCTTTCCCTTAAGGAGCCTGCATTTACTGGGAACTAACTCTTTTACAACTTAAAGACACTTTACCATGGTTCCTGGTTTAGGGTGTGGTACTATGGTGGCGCTTCTCAAGAGTGTCCTGGGCTTGGGAGAGCAAGCTGTTTTTTTTTTTTTTTTTAAATGTTTATTTAGTTTTGAGAGAGCACAAGCAGGGGAGAGGCAGAGAGAGGGAGACAGAGGATCCAAAGTGGGCTCTGCATTGACAGCAATGAGCCCGATGTGGGACTCCAGCTCACAAACCCAGATCATGACTTGAGCTGAAGTCAGATGCTCCACTGACTGAGCCCCCCAGGCACCCCAGGAGCACAAATTCCTTAAGCTAAAGGGTGTTTTGCCCCCACACTCCCCCTTCCCTCACCCTACCTGGGTATACGTGTGTGGTGAAACATTCTGAGTCCTAGTACTAATCACCAGTTAGGTTTCCCATAAGAATGATAAAAGAATAAAGATTTCCTTCTAAGAATTCTTGAAAGGATTACCCAGAGATTTTTTTTTTCTTTTGGGAAGTTTGAATTACGGCTTTAGGAAAACCGCCAAGTAGGGGGAGAAGGGATGGGAAATGAGAAATGTACTCAGTCACTAAAGAGTGGTTTCAGAGGCTTTATAGGTACGCAGTGCTGAAGAGACGAATAGCACACTTTACTCAAGTCGGGTTTTCTCTGGTGAGTACAAATGACCCCTGACTCTCCATGGTGGAGCCTGCTAATGGGAAGAAAGCTAATCCTCTGCGGGGTGTTGTCTGTACGGGGGAGCTACTGTACCAGCCCCTCACAGCTTCTGGACATTCTCGTATGATTAGGAAGGGGGGTTATAGGTGGTGGCGTCTTTTTAATCTCCTTCCAAGAGGATCTGCCCCCACGTGCATGTGTACATTAATAATGGAGAAACCTGATACCTGACATCATAAACAAGAGTGAGAAATGATGTTGGCTAACATAATTTTCACCTGCAAAAATGTGTTTCTTTGGATCTTTGGTTTATTTTGCACAAGGCATTAATAGCTATTCCTACTGAACAACCTGTAAATGATTACTACACCGCTGTCCAAGAATTACCTTACATATTCCCCAGCAGAGAATGAGCTTTACTCTCAGAGCATTAGAGAAGGATTTGGAAATAAAAATATACAATGATGGAGCTAGAAGAAGCCAATTAGTCTGTATCTGTATCTGTGTTTCTGAGTGATTTTACATGATATTCACCCCTAAGTTCTGGCTTGCTTGCAATGTTCTAATCAAGATATATGAAGAGGCTTATAAGGTTCATAGCTTCTTATTGAGTAAAAACAATTTTTAGAAATCCATTCAAAGGAAATAATCTGGAATCATGTCAAATATTTATGCAAAAATATTTCCTGAAGTTTTATTTAGAATAATGGGGGAAAATGGAAATAAGGCAGGCAGGAAGGAAACAAGAAGGAATTTATATACATTCATATCATGGAATATTATTCAGCCACTAAAAACATATTCAACAAAGATTTTTTTATAACATAGGAAAAATGTTAATGATATCATTAGTGAAAAGTAAGAGCATAAAACCCTATATACAGTATATTCTCAATTCTTAATCATATGAAGAAAAAGAAATGGAAGGGAGTATGTACAGCCATTAATAAGTGATTGTCTCCAGGTAGTGAGATTATGTTCCTCAGTCATTTCTGTATTTTTCAAAATTTTTACAATGGATAAGTGTTCTTTGTAATCAAATAAAAGTTATTTTGAAAAGCATTAACTCTCTGTATATAAAGTAGCAAATCAATATCCTGTTGCCTAGCTAATAATTTTTTATTTCTTGGTCAGAAAACACTATTTTTTATGAGGTTTTATTTGGAAATAAATCAAAGGCTTCATCTTTTTTAAAAATAACTGGATCAATGAAAGTCT